CATTTCGCCCTCACTCCGCCATCCCTCAGGTGCCCTACCGTCATATACAGTCCTTGGCCGTCGCCAACCATGGGGTCTTGTGCCAACTTGCATTTGCCCGGCCCCGTGTCTCCGCTGCTTTAGAGATGACAAACCCTGTTCGCTCGTCAACAGCTCGGCCCGAGTATGGACCGGCGGCCCGGTGGCCCATTCTTGCACAGGTACGGTGATCGGAGCTCTCTCGGAGATGGGCAAGGGTTCTTAATGAAATCGACCCGTAACGAGGCAGTCAATCTCTATCAGGCTCGGTAACAGGTGACCGTGTCGAACGTCGCGGCCCTCAGTTGTGATGGGTCACAACTCAACATCTCGTAGGTCAGCCTCGGCCGGGCTCGTGCCACGACACCGCATCGCGGCGTTTACCTTGGTCAATAGTCGGCCAGCCTTGCCATGGGCTATCGTCGTTTGCCAAAGCGGTCGCCGGCGTAACCTGTGTGCTGGGCACCCAATACCAGCGACGGTTGCGAATGGTACGACTAACGAGCACTCCCGCACGGGAACAACGGCCGACCAGCCAGTTTCACGAACGCTGACCTTTTGCAACGCGCTCTTCACAATAGGCAAGCGACCAGGTAGGTAGTACACGCTGCCGGCCGCAGGATACCTGTCGGTCGGACCAGGTACAGAGTCGGCTTGGCCTGGCCCTGTGGTGAGCGTGTGCCTGTGCTCTTCTCATGGTGTGTCCGCCGTTGGTTGCACGGGAGTTGCGGACGGTGGCTGATGGGGACCAATCCAGCTCTGGTTTGCGGCACTACGCACGCGTGTCAGGTCTGTTGCGCGTATTGCGGTGGGTCCTCAGGAGCTTCCATCGGCAGCATGGGACAGTTGGGCGCCCGTGTGTGCGTAGACCGGCAGTGATCACCTGCTGGTCCGAGGGCTCGTTTACTTCCACGAAACATTCAGCGTTCGTGTCAGTCTACTGACCAGATCGAGTTGAGTCACGCGCACTCAATAGCTTCGCGAAACAACTGTAACGAATAGGCGCTATTCTTCCTCCATCTTCGGCAAGATGGAAACCGTCCCGTGGACGGTCGAAGGCAATGCCGTAGTGCCATGTCAACTGCAGTCGAATCCGCGCAGCAAGTGGATCTCTCTGCTCGCGTTACGCGGTTCGCGATCATGACGATCCGGTAGAGCTCCACCCATCCCACTCTCTAGACCTCGGCCCCAGGTCCCACTCTAAGCTCGTCCACGAATGCGAGCTTCCCTGGCCCAAAGTCGCTCTTACGGAAATTATCCGAGTCACAACGCTGATGCCCCGAGAGTGAGACCGAGCTCAACACCCACTCAACCTCACCTCCTTGCGCTACTCTGTGATAGCCCCTTACGTCTGGACTACGACGCGAGTCCTTTATTACAGTGGTGTCTCCAGAAGTGGGGCACATTGAGATCAACTAATCAACAGCCCAATTGGAATTTGACTTCGCAGCGTCTAAAGCAGGCATTTAGAAGGGAGATCCCAAATCGGATAGCGGATGCAGGCAGCACATGCTCGGAAGTTGTTGCCCTACCCTCCTTTCCGCTTGCCCGAGGTCTTGGCTGCCGGCAGCGTACTGCTTCCAGAGAACTGGCCCTCCAGCCTGCAGCCTGTCGCGCTCACACCCATACGTCTTACCGGCCCGAGGAAACGTCAGCTAGATCTTACTCTCCTGTCATCGGTCTCAGAAAGTCGTCCACCTGCGGTTCGTCGCTCGAGAGCTTTATCATCACCGACCTGGCGGACCTGAGCTACGGCCTGCGGTACCATGCTATGGGGTTCGGGGTCTGGTGCCGAAGTCTGGCATGCCGACCTACGAGCAGCGCCGCGCAGGGGACGCTAGCGGGGTCATGTATTACGTTGGAGCATGAAAGCCGTCGGAAACTACACTGCTGATCACCATTCTTGGAGCAAGTCCACCTACTGGGCCTACTGGGATGAGTGGGACCTCGGTGATGAGCACGCTAACGGCTCAAGCTGGATCTATATGCGCTCTAGCGTTGGAGAGCAACGACAGTGCATAGCACGATCAATGAATGCACAAGGGGCTGAGCTTCGGTCCAATGAGGGGACGCTGTCGATCTCCCGTGTGCTATCTCTCGGAAGACACGGTACCGAGCAAGCTATTACGAGACGCACCAAGTCGTGCCGGGGTCATCTGAGATCAGCGGTGAGTTTCCCTTCGTTGGGCAGACAGACGTGTTGAGGATGCAGGAAGTTGCTCGGGTCCTTTACCTCAAACCCCTGGATCAATGGATAGCCTACTGGCCAACATCAGGTAGTACAAGAGGGTGCTCGACTGAGGACGGGCACAGACGGTTGGTGACCGAGACTCCAGGTTCACCTGCAGAAAACGGGTCGGCATTGACCACAGAGCAGCGACTGACAACGACAATGCTCGACAAACCTAATTTCGCCGATCAGTAATTCCAGCTCAACTCTGTTGAATATTTCGCCCACCTCTGCGCCGAGATGCACCTCCTCCGGGCTCAAGAGAGATGCTTACTATCGCAGTGTGCGACGGGAGCCTGAATTTACAGTCATCCTAGCACCTGACATCCTTTGGATAACCCGGTGCAGCATGTGCTCCCGGCAGAAGACCGAACTCAAGCCAATGTTTCACGGCACGCGGGTCAAAGCTATCCACCGGAGTGCGGATCCATTGTCGCTGGCACACTGGACCTCTGTCCAGTGGACGAGCACCCTTCGGCAGGTGACCCTAAGTCAGCTCTGCACGCGGAGCTTCGAGGGATGCGGAGCGCGGAGCATCCTTATGCGCTCGTCGGAAATACAGTCAAGCGGAGAGAAGACAGCAGCACTTCCCCCAGAACCCACCCTCGAAACCATGACGCTGTATTACGAGTACTACGAGTAAGGTGCGCCCAGGAGAAGCGTCCTGGCCAACCACTGCTATCCCAGCCCAGGTCCCGAGCGGAGCGGCCTCACACCATCCCCGCGGAGTTCGGGAGATCAGCGCGCCACACTTTGCGCCGACGAGCATTCGCATAGCTCCTTCGGCTCTGTGGCAGCGGCCTAAGAGCCTCCTTGTCCCAGCCCTTGCTGCCCTGTTCCTCGACGATGCGCTGATCAACATCCGATGGCTGATCCTGTCCCTTCGTTAACCCCTGCGTGCTTTCTCGGGAACACGCATAGCGCCTTGCCCTGTATTCTGACAAGCCATAACGCCTGACAAGTCTTTTGGACCCCGAGGAACCGCACTGAAAGGAAATGAATGACGCTGATTGCTTCGAAGCTCGGGGAAGCATGGCGCAGGATTCCGTGAGGGCTGATCAGAAGGCTGGTCGCTGGAAGACCGTCGACAGGAACCAGCGGGCACACGGCGCACCCCGCTTGGGAAGCAGTGAACGTACGCAATGCTGTCGAAGTCTCGCCCAAGCCCTCGTCTCTCGTTTCGAGCACGATATCTCTCAACATCCATCAAGCATTGCTTCCGACAGCGGCTCATTCAGCTTCCATTAAGCCGTTTCTGCCTCCGATACGACGAGGCGTTGGGGCGAACCACGAGACGAGGTGTGAGGCGAGGGGTGAGGGGCGAAGGGTTGCGATGAAGGCCCTGCGTATGCGCCGACCCCTCTCACCCGCCCAGGTCAACAGTGGAAACCCACCGAGACCCAAGTATGCCTAGACCTACCGGACCCAGTGAACTGAACTGAGGTGCACTGGTCCCTCAAGCACGAGGGTCGTGAGCCTGGAGCGTGGCCACTGCTTCACGTGGGGACATCGGACGTGCGTACGCCGCTGGATGATGACGAGCTGGAAACCTTAGCCATGAGAGTGAACCTACGATGAAAGCGCGGGTAGGTCGAGGTCGATCTTGCGGAATTGTCGTCTCATTGAGCACTTCAGTCAGTCCCGTCCGCGTGAGTGCCAATACAGTGTGGGTGAACTGAGGGTAAATCGTGGGTGAACTGAGACTAGGTTGTTGCTCGTTATCGATCTGAGAGAACTCCAGGTTTCATTTCGTACCTGTACCTTCGTACCTCCCATGAATTCTTCTCACTGACCGGCTGACACTTTGCTCTGACCCCGTGGCGATGTGCTGACGTATGGGGATGTGCCTGCTCTTCATTTCTGCAGTCCCGCTGGCCCGCTGAGACCCGTTGCACCTTCTTCGGATCTGCTCGATCTGCTTCATAGCGGCCCTTGCGATCTTCGTGGGATGTCACAGTGATGCAGGGTATGACTTGTCAGAGAACACATACTCGAACAAACCAAGAGCACTGTCGGTCAGGTCCGCCAGACCCGCTAGCGCATAAGGTTTGAATGACAGGTCATCCCAACGACATTCCCGAGCATCGCGGAAAACAGTGACAGTCCTGGATGGGAGCTTGCACTTGCGCCCTCATTCAGCTCAATGGCAGCGTGGTTGCGTCCACTGTGCCGCATCAACATCTTGGGTGCAGGTCGTGTCTTCGATGCACGCATCGTACTCGAGTTTACACGCACGAGGCTGGAGACGCCGTGGATCTGGCGAGACGTTCCGGTCAAGGTTTGCGAAAGTTGGACAAAGGTTGGACACAGGCACAAGGTTAAACACCTCCACCACCTTGTTTGGCTCGCATGCTCGGAACAAGCTCAGGCAGGTTCGGAGATGAGTGCGATCGAATGTCTTGAACTTTACGAGCAGAGAACTAGAAACATGTCACACCTAGCAGACGAAATGACACCTCGCTCGTTAAGTCAGTAGCATGCTCAAGCGCTCCGAGCGACCCGGCTCACGTTGGTCAGTGGGTCTGGGCATGTTAGTATGCGCCTATCTCTCTCATGGGATGCAAATGTTACATTTCATCAGTATATTGGTGTCTGGCCTGGTACCTTGTTCCTCGTTACATGTCGATCGTCCTCGCCGCGGCCCATTGCAGAGATGTTCTGCGCTGAAGGAAGGAGCTCCTCTTGTTTCGTCGCTGCTGCTCAGGATGCCTGCTCACAAGCACAACAGCCGAGGCGCCTATCGCCCAAGCAGTTATTCCCTTTCTGAGGTCATCGTGCTGACTACGAGAGTGAGCAATGACCATGCTACTCCCTCCACGGCAGCCAACATCGACGGCTCCACAGCAAGAGGTACTCGCACCCCGCGACTGATGGCGAGTACGGACGAGATACGCAGAACTGCGTCGGCGCCGTTAACGATGGCGGTCCAGCGCTCGTCGGAGAACAAGGCTCGGGTCGCACTGATGAGCGACTCTACGACGAGGTAGGCTACCCGCACGGCCGGTGTCGGCGAGAGCAGAGCGCTTCCGGCGCGCACAACCGCAAGTGCACGCTGAGCCGCGGCCAGCCGGGCCCTGACCCACGTAAGGCTACTCTCCGCTGGCATCATTTGCACGTCCACAATGCCATTGACCCTTGACCCGGGCATGGTGTTTGACGAAGGGTCGGGGCCAAGACCCCATGTGGCAAGAAGGGGCTCGAGGCCAGTCTCCTCCGACGCCGACGCTCTGGGGAACATGTTCTGCCTTCCTATGCCGAACCTGTCCCAGTCGCTCCCTGTCTCATTCGAGGAGTCCGCCGCAGTCGGCTCCCAATCCATCGGTTCAGACTCGTCTCGCGGCGGCGGGGTCAGGCCCAGTGACTGTTTCCCGAAGATCGGTTGTGGTGGCGGGGGCGGTCGACCGTTCACTTGCGACGTCCCTGATAGCGATAATGCAGACAGGGAGTCGGCGTGCGCATCCGCATCGGCTGAGGAGGGTGTGGTGGGTGCGCTGACGGGGCGAACAAGTCTCAGCGTCACAGGCCGCTGATGCATGCACTGATACGTCACCCAGACGAAGACGCTAAGCGCGAGCACGTCCACCACGGCACTCCATGCAGGCGAGATGAGCCAGTCTGGAGGGTGCTCAGATTGCGTCCATACGAGAAGCCACAGCGCGCCATACAACCTCCCTATCGTTTGGAAGATGCGCGACAGCTGCACGTCAGCTACCTGTCCAGCGCTAGTATGGACTTACGTCTATCGCAAGTCTCTTCTCTCGCGGAGGTGGCTGCATACCCCTCCAGCTGTTGAACCAAAGTGGGTCCCATGTCGCAAGGGCAAAACAGGCAGCCATCTGGAAACCGACGAGAGCCTGCCCGACAGTGAGAGAGCCGATTAGGGACTGATTGACGAGGTCTCTCGTGACAATGGGGTCGAAGAGCACTGCTGTTAGTTACGGTTCAGAATCGACAACTCACGCAAGCCATGAGTCGCGTAGAAAGCGACTGCGCCGGTCCAAAACATGGTCTTCCTCGCCTGTGCGACTATCTTTTCGGCCTGGCTGGGTGCGACCGACCGTCGTTGCTGGCTCTCCTTGCCGCGGCGGAGAGCATTGCCGAGCGCCTCGGCCTGTGCCTTCTGATCGGCCCGCTTCAGTGCCTCATCGACTGCAGGCTGACACGCTGCACACACTGGTGGGTAGCGCGCGTACAGCGACGCACGATGTGCTGGTAACCGCGCCAAGAGGTCGGGGTAGCTCGGGTCCTGACATTAGCAAGCTTCTCACGGAAAGTGATGCTTACGTTCTCGTCGGGCAGGTAGTTCGCAAGCATGTTCACAACAAGCGTCTGATTCGTGAGACAGTTACGGCAGAACGCTGTTGTACGCGAGGGGGGAAGATGCGTTTCCGGTTGGGAAGCTGAGGTCAGCTCTGCCGCCCACGTCCTCGCAGGTTCACCCAAGTGCGGCCACACTCCCTGCACCGTCCTCACTCGCCTTGAGCAGGAGCATGCCCCTATTCATGGAGTACTCACCTCTCTTCTCCCAGCTACCGCTGTTCAGACCCCTCTCCCGCATCGCAGGGAGGTACGACACTATCTGGCCGTCCCCGTCTCGGACATTCCAGCACTCGCATGCGGGACACAGCCAGTTCCGATCGGTTCCCTTCGCTGGCGGGTGTGCTCCAGGTCGCGGTCCAAGTATCGCTTTGGACTGGCAGAAGAAGCACTCGACAGGCCGCGGTTGACGGTTGCCCAGGAGGCCCATGCCTAGCTTGCAGAGCGATCACGCTATCGCGAAAGCGTAACGATGGCAGTCGAGCCACGTTCGGTTGAGAAGGAGGAGATGAGAAGAAGGAGAAATGGAATGCGTTGTTGCTCAATCGGCCAAGAATGCAGGATAGCTTTGGTCCAGATCGTCTGCGCCGGTACAAAGGGCTGGCGAACCGGTCGGCGGCCTTCCTCTCCTGCCGTGAACGGGCGATCGATGAGCTCCTAGCACTCCGATATCCAAATCACGATGCAGAGGCGATGAGCAAGGTGAGACTCGGTGCCGTAAGATGTTCGTCGTAGTGTTCGGCAAGCGTTGGACGAGACGGAGAAGAACTGGACGAGCTGATGCGGGAGACGCAGACTTCCAGAAATGTCGTTGTTGATGCTCACTCATGACGCCGCCCGTGCCTGACGGAGATGTCGTAGTGTCCACTTTGCATCCGTCGCCGCTGAGTACGCTAACCTCAGCAATGGACGTTTCCGAATGACGATTCGGAGCCTCCACCCTGTGCTTCACGACGACGACAATACTCCACGAGCTCGACTGTCAACTCGGTCTCAACTTCAGCACTTGAACCAAGATACGAGATCTCTCTCAACAGAGCAAGCCGGCTTCTGACATCAACAATCTCGAAGGGCATATCGTTTGAACCGCCTTCCTTCCCCCTTGACAGTCCGCACAGTCGACAACATGGCCTTTTCGTCCAAGTCGACGAACCCCAACCCGCTTCTGCGCATGGTGCGCCAGCGCCCCTTTGCGCTGTTTGGTCTGCCCTTCCTCGGTCTCGTGGTGTTCTCCTCATTTGCGCTGAGCACATTCACGCAGACACGCTACGACCTGAACGACTCGAAGACGAAGAGTGTTTCCAAGGAGGAAGAGCTGGGCATGAACAAGGACAGGAAGAAGGTGGACATTAGGGAGGAGTACTACGTGAGTGTCCTCACGGATAACGGCGACTGGGTGTGGGCTGCCTTGAGGCCAAACACTGTGGATGCCCATCTTCCAATCTTCTCCCTTGTCTCCCGACCGTGGACTCGTTCTCGGGAACGCAGGCTTTCCAAGGCGGCGGGTCGGACGCGGAAGAATCTTTGCCGGAGAAGCTGGGCGAGTCTTGTATAGAAGCTGACATCACAGCGCCTGAATGCCATTCCGTCATCTCTCCAGTCGGCGTCCGATGCGGCCCTCGACGCCACCAAGTCGGAGCACGCTGAGAAGAAGCGCAAAAAGTTCTCCATGGCGCCCACGTCCAACGACGACTATGAACCTATCCGCGTTCCGCGTCCCGCAGGCGTTAGCGAGTGGGGAGGAGTTGGCGGAGCGTCGCCTGATGCGCCGGTCAAGGGGCAGAGGGAGACGGATCGATGGGTCTAGGTGGGCCAATGGTCCGGTGGGGAGGGAGATGGAGAGGGAAGGAAGACGGAGTATCATCAAACCTTAGCATATGCATTCTCATCACTACTTGTCCTGCTTATCAGTCGCTCTGTGCTCCCGCGACGGTAAAACTGATCTCGACCGTCAGCGCCAAACTTCCAATTCGAGATCACCCGCACTTGTCCTGTACCCAAATACTAGGCGGGTGGGGATCAGTAAGCCGAGGCGTGACACTTCACCTTGCTTTTCAGCACTGACTGTGTGTGCGGCTCGGCGAGGGTGCGTTCCAGGCAAAATGCATGCAGTGACAAAAATGCGACTAAAAAGAGACTATGGGACTATCGTACGTATCCGTTGCGTTTGCAGTGGGCTTCTATGTGTTTGCTGATGGTGGTGGTGTGGATGGGGGAGGGGAGAGGATGCAGAGTACAGAGACGGTCGCACTACGATATGGAAGGGAACTCATTGGGACGGGAGACTCGGTCGAACAGATGGGATGGGGAGAACCTTGCACTTTCTTCGCCAAAGTAGTATCTATGGCGGCACACCGTCATTGGCACTCGCTCGTGCTCTGAGCTTACGCGCGCTTCGCGCCCCTCCTGAGCGGCTTGATCTTCCTCGCGCCGGGAGAGCCGGGCGCCTGCTCCGCGGCATTGACACCCATGCTGAAGCCTCCGGCGGCGCCAGCGTCGGGAGCAGGCGAACCGAATCTGGGCGCGGCGGTGGAGCTGCCCGCGCCAAACTGGAATGTGCCGCTTCCAGCATTGCCAGAGCTGTTGGCCGAGCCAAAGGCGAAGCCGCCCGTCGGCGTGGAGGGCTGCGAGGGCTGCGCTGCGCCAAAGGTGAAGCTCGGCGTGGACGACGCGGCGGGCGCGGCGGGAGTGGTGGTCGAGGAGCCGAACCCGGTTCCAGAGCCGAAACCACCACCAGAACCGAACCCGCTGGTCGCGCCCGTGGAGGGACTGTTGTTGCTCGAACCGCCGAAGCCGGGGCCGGAGCCGAATCCGCTTCCGCCGGCGGCGGACGAGGAGGCATTGTTCGTGCTGCCGAACCCAGAGCCGGCGCCAAAGGTGAACGAGCCAGAACCGCCGGGAGTTGAAGAGGACGCGCCGGCAGTGCCGAACCCGCTGGAGCCCGCATTCGCGTTGGCAGGTGTGCTGGACGACGCACCAAAAGTGAACGACGGCGTGGAGGGCGCGGCCGCATTGTTGGTGCTGCCAAAGGTGTTCGAGGTGGAGCCGGCGCCAAAGGTGTTGCTCGGCGTCGAGTTCGACGAGCCGAAAGAGAATCCTCCAGATGCAGGGGCAGAGCCTGAGGCAGGAGCAGCAGGGGTCGACGGCGCACCGAAGCTGAACGGCTTGTCACCACCGTTCACGCTCGGCGTGCTCGTGGGGGGAGCGTTGGACGAGCCAAAGCTGAATGGCTTAGCGGCCTCGGCGGGCTTGGCAGCGCTGCTGGAGCCAAAGGAGAAGCCACCAGACGAGGGCGCAGCTGCCGCGGGCGCAGGGCTGGCAGAAGACGAACCGAAGCTAAACGCGGGCTTGTCAGCAGCAGGGGCGGTCGAGCCGTTGGAGGAGCCAAAGCCAGACGAGGCTGGGGCCGCCGAGCTCGAGCCAAAGCTGAAGGCAGGCTTGTCCTTCTTCTCCTCAGGCTTAGCAGTATCGGTGGTCGTGGTCGACGAGCCAAACGAGAACGCCGGCTTGTCAGTCGCAGGAGCAGCAGAGCCGAAACTGCTGCCTCCCGAAGGGGCAGGAGACGACGAGGCACCGAAGCTGAAAGCAGGCTTGTCCGTAGACGGAGCCGGGGTGGACGACGCCGAACCGAACGAGAACGCAGGCTTCTCGGCAGCAGGCTTGTCAGTCGAGGTAGCGGGGGCGCCAAAGCTGAACGCTGGCTTGTCGCCAGCGGCCGGGGTAGAGGCGGCAGGTGTCGAGCTGCCAGAACCAAAGCTGAAGGGCGCCTTGGTCTCGGCAGGCTTGTCAGCGGCAGGCGCGGGCGAGGCAGAGGGCGTGCCAAAGCTGAACGCAGGCTTCGGGGCTTCAGTTGGCTTGTCGGCTGCAGGTGCAGCGGAACAGCTACCAAACGAGAAGCCACCAGAAACCTTGGGCGCTTCAGCAGGCTTGTCGGCAGCGGGCGCACCGAAGTTGAACGCGGGCTTGGGCGTCTCGGCAGAATTTTCCGCAACAGAGGTAGTGGAACCAAAGCTGAAGGGCGCCTTGGAGCCTTCCGTGGGCTTCAAGGCATCGCCATTGGATCCGCTGAAGAGGTTGCTAACCACCGGCGGTCCAGTCTCGGCAGGCTTGATGCCAAAGTCGAGCTTGGGCGGAGGGGTCGAAGCACCGGAGGTGGGCTTGGAACCGCCAAAGAAGTTGGGCACGCCGCCATCGGCCGCCTTGGGCGCCGTAGACTCCGGAGCAGGAGTCGTAGTGCTCGTAGCGGGCTTCGAGAAGAAGTTGCTGGCAGGAGGCTTGCCCGCTGGCGTCGTCGAGCCAGTAGGAGTGAGCGACGAGCTGCTCGTGCCCGAAGCAGCACCAGAGAGGGAGAAGAAGCCGGTCGAGGGAGGCGGCGACTTGGGCGCCGAGGTGATCGGGGCGGGAGCCGAGTCCTTCTTGGGAGTTGTCTCGGGGCTGGACACCTCGGCGACGATAGAATTGTTCGCAAGGGGCGAAGAAGCACGAGGACGAGACTGCAGACCGTTGAGGCGGTTGCCAAGCGAGCTCAGCTGGGCATTGCGCTGCTGGGTCGACTGCGACGAGGAGGGAACGCTGAGGCGCGAGCTGAGCTGCGGCTCCGACGGCGCTGCCGGCGTCGTGCTCTCCTTAGGCTCGTCCTTCTTAGCATCATTGCCGAACATCGGGATCGAGAAGTTCTTGAACGACGCAAGCGGAATCTTGGCGTTCTCAAGCTCGTCCATCTGGGGAAGGTCTTCGTCGCGGGCCGAGAAGCGGCCGCTGCCCGTACCGGGGCTAGTCGCGCGAGACGAAGAGTAGCTGGCCGCACCCTGGTGGGCGCGCGTCTTGCGCTCGGGACCGGCACGCAGCGAGCTACGCGGACGGGGTTCAGAGTCATCGCGGACCTGGTAGGTGGAGGAAGAGTTGCTGCTGGGCGACGGGGCGATAGTGACGACGGTAGGCACATCGGCCTTGGCCTTCGTTGGCGTCTTGACCTGCTCCGGCTCAGGCTCGGGCGACGCAGCTGCCTTTTTGCGGGTCGATCGACGAGGTGTAGGTTCGGGAGACTTGGCCTGCGAAGCGCGGAGACGGGTCGAGCGGCGGGTCGCCTTCGGCGTCGTCTCCTCCTGGTCGGGCGACTTGGCGTGGCGGGCTGAGCGGCGAAGCTTCTGGCGCGGCTCGTCGACACTCATGTCGTCACTGGCGTACGAGCTCTTGGAGCGAGAGCGGGTGCTCCGGCGGCTGCGGGAGCTCGCCTTGCTGTGGTTGTCGACCTCCATGTCCGAAACATCCGAGGCAGACTCAGCCTCAGCGCGACGCGACGCGGCGAGCTCCCTGCGTTGGCTGCGTGCGAGTTCATCAACGGCGCGGCGACGGCCGTACGGCGAGATCATCGCCGAGATGGCCTTGTCGGCGAGCCACTCGGAGCCGTGCTTCTTCTTCGTCTTCTCCTTGTCTGCCTGAGTCGCGAGCGGAACGGAGATGGCCTTGCGGAGCTGGCGGCTGGAACTGCCAATGAGGCTCGGGGGCAGACCAGTCGAAGGGGCGGGCGTCTTCTTCTCGATCTTGGTCGGCTTTCGGAGCGCCTCGAGGTGGAACAAGATCCGCTCAGCCTCGTTCTGAGCAACAGGCTTTGGCTTCTCAGCTTCCAGATCAGACTCGCGGATGAATCCACGCTCAGCGTCGAACACCATCTGCCCTCGGCGGATGGGAGTGGGCTGCTGGCGCTGGGACTGGCCGAGGGAGCCGTGCGAGCGAGCGTGCGATAACCGCGAGTACGTCGAGGCCCGCGGAGAGGTCATCCAGTCGAGAGTGCCGCCGTGCGCCGCCTCGGACGACTCAGGGATGCTGCCGAACTCGTCAAAGTGCATACTAGCACGCTGACGGAGGCGCGACGAACCGCGCAAGGAACCAGTGCGCATCGACACATCCGACTGGGCGGTCCCCTCACGCTCCATGCGGTCGTCACCGGCAATGCTGGACAGGTTCACAGCCGTCGTCGAGCGCGAGAAGCCCGAGCCCGCACGGAACGGCGAGTTTGAAAACATCATCGCGTCGGACCGACGAGGAGTGTGTGACCGAAGGCTGGCAGCGCGCGCGGTTCCAGGGCCGGCGGACTCGCCGAAGTGGGCCAGGTCGGAACGGGCGAGGGCCGAGTGCTCGCGTTCCCGGTCCGCATCCCACGGGGCAAAGTCGGAGCGACGAGGCGTACCACGCACACTGGGTGAAGAGGGTGCGAGCATCGAGCGAGGCGGGTCGAGGTATGCGGACGGAGGAGCAGCTAAGCTCATGCGATTAGCTTTGCGGAGCGATCCCGGGGTAAGGGACGGAAGAGCTTTAGAGGAAGCAGGCTCATACGGTCCCCGAGCAGGCGTCCAGGTCGACGTCGACGAGGCATACAGGTTGCCTAGGGATTGCCGTCTCCTAACCGGCTTCTCCGGGCTGGCCTTGCGTGAGCGCTTGGTGTTGCGGCCGTCGGAGGGAGACTCGGGTGAGGCCCCACGCTTGTTCTTGGAACCTTGGGGCGGTGACAACCCAGCGGCGAGGGCTGGACGCTCACGGGCCGCATCAGCCTCGACATCCTGCTCTGCCTGCTTGTTAGGCGTTGAGATCCAGTTCAGCGGGCGGGAGAAGAGGGACTTGAGACCTCCCAGCATCGATGTCGAGCGACGGAGGGTGGGGCCATTCGCATTCGGGGTCGTGGGCGGGCGCGCGTAAGGGAGCAAATTGTCGCGCTGCTTCCTGGGCGAGCGCACAGCACCGGGGAGAGTGCGGTACTCGCTCATGGCGGTGGAGAGGGGAAGGTGTGGGTGGTGTCGAGTGTGGATGGGGAGTCGGTGTTCGAAATATATGAAAGTCGATCGAGGGGTCACACAAGGGGAGAGTGTCGGAGTGTGCGATTTTTGGTGTCGGTGGGTGGCGAACGGTGTCGAACAAGAGGCGTACGTCGAAGCGCCCCGCCTCGGCCTGATGGTCTGGTCGGACGGGGGTGTTGTTGGACAGCGGGTAGATTGGGGTGGAGAACAGGGAAACGAGATGTTCGCAGCTGGCGCTCAAATCACCCAGAGACGATGGGACCCAAAGACGTCAAGAACGAGCGAGCAAAAATATCCCCGCATTATTTTCCCCTTTTTCTCCCGCTCATCCAAACACCAAAACATCCACTCTCGAACCTTGTCCGGCGTCCATCGCCTACCTCCACAATCTGCAGCGGCTTGCAACCGCTGCAATCAGTCCCCCAAAGCTGCGGCGGCCACGCCAACACCGCGTTACTTGTGCTTCTACAGTATGTACATGTGAACTACTAACTCTAATGTACTGTGATTAACTACGAGTCTACATGACTCCTGATAGGTCTCGGGGCTTGGGCGCGATCGGGACAGAGTGACGAGCGCCCGACCCGGCCCCAGCTGCGCTTGCAGGACGTGCTTGCGACTGCGGTTGGGACTTTGGACGTCCAAGCTGTCCAGACGGTCCAGGGGGGTGCAGTGGTCCGGTGAGAGTCGGCAAACTGCGTCGCGGAATGGTCGCACCGTGATCCAGCCCGTCGACCATGCTACGGCGAGGGGGTGAAGGACCAGCGATACCATCGGGCAGACCGCGGCGGGAGTGAGAAGGTGCGTCAATCACGCCCCGACTGTGTTGGTGCGAGGACGGCAGAGAGTGGCGAGAGTGCCATACCCTTGACGAGCCAGATGCTGTGATCTCGTGATCACGCTCTCGGTCACGTTCGCGGCCCCGAGCTGCGCGCTCAGCAGCTCGCTCACGTTCCAGTTCGCGGACCTCTGGGGGTCGGGTGTACAGGGCTCCATCCGCCGAGTCAGTCAATTCAAGACCGAAGCGGCCCAGGTCACGCCCAACACGCTCCAGAAAGGCGTCGCGCTTCGCGGACGGCTGGGAGAAGTACGACGACACGAGAGTGCGCAGGTTGTTCTGAAGTCAGCTTCCGAGTCAGTTTGTCGTCGACGGGAAGCAACATGTGCATCCGCAATCCCCGTGAGGCCGAAGCAAGAATCACTCACCTTCACATTTTCGAGGAAGCCAGCAGCGTTGTCCTCCAGCTTCGCGTCCAGACCGTCAAAACCTTCGCGGTGAAGACGCGCATAGTTCGCCTCCGTGAGGTCCGCGGGAAGATCGTACTCGCCTCCTTTCGGTGCTAGGACGATGGCTGGATAGTCGAAGGCAAGGTCGGGCAGTTGAGGCTCCGGCGCCACATAGGGCGACTCCGGGTACCTGACCGAGTCGACGAGGGGGGATGGCTGTGGCTGTGAAGTTGACAGGCGGTGAGACCGTGTGTGGTTCTGCGACGTAGCGGTCGGTGGCTGAGGAGTCGGTGCGAGCCCAGCAGGCAGCTTGGCTGTAACAGGTGCGGTGACCGGTCGTCCTACTGCTCCTTGCACAGCCGCAGCGCGGTGATACCAGTCGTCCCGGTCATGGGTGCGCGAGTTGCGACGCTCCCGAGGGTCGCGAGGGTCAGAAAGATCTAGAGGGTCGCGAGGATCGCGCACATCGCGAGGATCACGGGGATCACGGGGATCACGCAGGCCACGCACGTCGCGAGGGCGGCGGGCGTCACGGAGGTCGCGGGCTGTGCGGGGATCGTGAGGGTCGTGGCCATCGCGCAGGTCACGCATGTCGCGCGGATCACGGGGGTCAAAGGCGTAGGCTGCTTGACCTGGCGGATAGTGACCAGCAGTAGACGTTCCAGAAGCATACGCATAGTTCTGTGTGCTGTAGTACCCGCTGCTAGACGGGTGGGATGCGTAAGATTGGCCCGCACGTGAAGAAGTAGGGGGATGGCGGTTCGTAGTGAGTGGACGCTGGTCCCGTGGCTCGCGGGCCACCATCCAGGGATCACGCATGTCGATAGGTTCGCGGGGGTCTCGAATCTCGAGGCGGCGCTCACGATCGCGAGCGTCGACGTGGTCGTAGGGATCGATGCGGTCGCGAAATGTGCGGTTGGAAGATTCGAGGGCAGACTGTGACCGCGGGTCGTACTGTCGACGCGGGTTGTATTCGCGCCTGTCCCACACATGATCTTCGCGCCGCTGTGGACGGTCCTCATCCGCATTCCTCCACAGGCGCTCACGGTCGCGCTCTGGCTCCGGACGAATGCGATCGCTGTCCACGTGCTCGCGATCGAACGAGCGCTCCCTCCAACGGCGACGTTCCCAGTCGACAGCTCCGCGGGACGACTCGATGTCATGCCCTTCGCGCTCCTCCCACATGCTGCGGCGTCTTTCGCTGGGCCGAGCGCGATACTCCTCCAGACGCTCACGCTCGCGTTCGCGCTCGAATCGAAGGCGATCGAGTTCACGCTCTCGCTCCAGGTCGAAATCCCTCTCCCGCTCGCGTTCGCGCTCCAGCTCACGTGCACGGGTGCGGTCACGGGTCACTCGGCGGTCATAGTCGAGGGCCTGCTGGCGATCACTGTCCTCCTTACGGCGCAGGTTCGTAGCGTTGATGATATACTCGGCCTCGTTCACAACATCGCGCAAGCGCCTTTCCGTCTCTGGATCTTGCTCTTCCTCGTCGTCGAGATCCTCGATCGCGCGCCCCCCGGCGACACGTTCCTCGACGTCCATCGCCTGATCGTCATCGGCATCGAGGTCACGCTCCTGGTGACGGTCATGGTCGCGGTCGTGGTAAAGATCGCGGCCGCGTTCATCACTCTCCGGTGGCGACGGATACACTCCAAGCCCAGTCCGCCGGGAGTCAGAGTCTCGGGGCGTCCGGCTGTCGGATGACGACGCAGAGGGCTTCTGTGTCGCTGTCGACGAAGCATGACCGCTTGGTGCAACACGCAGTCGGCTGGCGTTAGATGATGACCTCTGCCTCGTAACCACCGGCAAGGGTGACGTTTCGCGTGATGTGCGGGAGCGCGGGCGAGGGAACAGCGCAACGTCGGCAGAAGGTCTTGATGTCGATGCATGCGACTGGCGTCTCGATCCAGGCGCTGAAGAGCGACTTGTCCGGGTGTCCTCAATGGCTCCTGCTTGGGTCGACTGTGCACGAGTCGGACGGTCACTTGCCGTCGGCGTGCCTTGAGTCGCAGACGAGGCCGGCATAGTTGGAACACGAGCTCCAGCAGACACGTGTGCTGACATGCGCGGAGTCTTGGATTTCTTCGAGGGTGGTTCGGGCGAGTTCATCAGAACCGGGGAAGTGTTGTCTCGAGGCCGTTTGGCGCTCGACGAACCGCCGGTCATAACCGCGCGCGAGACCTCGGCTGTCGAATCCTCCAGCATTGGAGCTTCAGAAGTGAAGAGCGTCTCGTCGTCGCCGTGATCAGTCGAGTGGGGTGGCAAGTCTTCACGTTTGGGTCGATCTTGAGCTGATTGTTGTGATGCAGGCATTGGTTCTGAGCGAGGGAAGTAACACCGGATCGACGTGTGACACAAGTTCACAGATTGCAAGAAGGGGGCGCGGTGTCAGCTTAACGTCGAACGCTGCGCCAGGTGGCGATACCACAGAGTGAACGACTCACGAGTAATGTCATAGGGAGCATCCCCATTCGGAGCTGACGGAGGCTGCTGGGAGACTTCTGCTGTTGCATCAGCGCAGCGCTCAACTTGGTTGATGCAAACGGTTGGGAATGACTCACCAGTGTGCCCTTCTCCGCTTGTCGCAGCTGCCGCACTGTCTGGTATTGTTGTTCCGTTGGTCTGTGCAGCTTGCTGCTGCTCGGGGGTCACGGCCGGTACATCTTCGACCTTCATGCGTGTCCTCGGTCTTCCTCGCGGCCGTTTAGGTGCGCCAGGCGGCAACTCTGGTTCCGGTGACGGCGACTTGAGAATCTTGTTGCCGAACTCGTCTTCGACCTCGATCTTCCACCCCTTCCAACCACGCCGGTGCTTCTTCTTAGGGGCAGCTCCGGCGGGTGTGCTGGGCCCAGCCTCATTTGGAAAGCTCGCGGTACCATTTGAGGTCGCAGAGGGTGGTGCCGTTGGGGAAGCAGTGCTACCAGCGCCGACAACGCGATTGAATGAGCCCGAGTCTGCAGCCGAGGTAGATGTGACGATTGGCGGAGGTGCGCGGGATCGGCGACTGCTGGAGGAAGCACGCTCAGCACGATCGCGAGCGACGCTGGAGGCACGGGATGAGGTCGTAGGAGGTGCTTTGGCGGATGGAGGCTCGTTCGCAGTTGGGGTTGGAGTGGAGGTCCGATGATCCTTTGACGTGGTTGCAGCAACAGGGGCAGGTGAGGCGGACGCGGCGGGGGCGGACGGAATGTCAGACGCACTGGTTGCCCAGCGCGGAGCGCGCGGGGGGCTCATCGCCGGGCGGAGGTGGGATGGACGAGGGAATTGTGCAAAGCGGAGGTGTAGGGAGGAAGAGGGCTGTTCTTGACGAGGAGGATACGACCGTTCGATGGAGGGTACGGGGTGGTTGACTCAGGCAGGCTTTGGCTCTGGCTCCGTGGCTGGGCTGGGGTAGGCTTGGGCGGCGGACGCGCAGAGACGATAGGCGGAGGGTCCGAGTGGAGGTGCAATGTCGGGGTGCGTGTGTGTGTGTGTGTGTATGCAACTGGGCGCGGGGAGTCGGATGGAGAGGAGCAATAGCGACGTGGAATGGAGAGGAGAGCTGGGGATGGAGAATGTTGACGTTGGTAGATGGGGATAGCGAGGGTGGTTGGGTGGAGGGAAGAGTGAGGCAGGCGTCGAGGCGGCAGGGGCCAGGGGGGTGAGGTCAAGTGATGGGCTGGATGGACGGATGATGCGAAACCGCGAAATCGCGAAACCGACCACAGCCATACGTCAAGACATCCGAAGTGGCACTTTCCAATATCAAGCGTCCAGAATCGCTTCAAACCGCCGTCGCCTATGCCTCCAACATTCTCAGCGTGCTCTAATAAACAGTCCTGGCAAGCTGCAGACTCTCTCATTGTCAGTAAAATCGAATGGACCTGCTCCTGATCTCTGTTCCCACGTGAAACGCGACTAATGTTCAGCAGATACCCGCCACGTCTTTTGCCACTGTCCTGTTTCTTTCTCTGTGTCGGACCAGGGGAAGCGCATACGTGTCGGTCTCTTCTCCAAGATGTTCTCAGCAGGTTTGAAGCAGCATAACATTATTTGGAGCTGCATGTAAAAACGAGAGGTGACAGTTGTCTGGCGTTTGGGGCAGAGGGCGCAGGCGATCGATCAACCCCGCCGCCAACTTCTCCCCCCAATACGCCGCGTAGTGGAAATTCATTCGGTCAATGACGTTTTGGTGGGCATTGCGTGTACTCCCTTGCTCTTAGAGAGGGAAGGTGCTGTAGGTCTTGAGTAAAGACTTATCTAATACGGAAAATGCTGCATATCTCTCACGAAGCACTGGCATGCTGGCAAGGAACCGTGCGCCCCGTCCCTGCAGTTTTGCGGTCGGGGGCGCAAACTTTTGTCGTAACTCTCATTCAAGTAGTCTCTGTGACTTCCATGCTCGCTCGCTGCTGCAGGGAATGCTTCCTACTTGTTCTGTGTGCATGGGTCAAAGTGATTGTGATTAGACCTTTGCTTTGGGAGTATTGATAGTGGTCGACTGGTAGACACTGACGCAGCGAACAGCCAGGGACAGCTCATGCCGGCATTCATCGTGCCTGGTCGCGGTGGCCGGCTTGCCCCGCCTTCCTCCCTGGCCCGCTTACCTCGCACCTCCGCTCATCGTGCTGCCTGCAGTCTTATTCGAGTCCCAAGCTTCCGCTCCGCATTCGGCGACAAGACCGACTGTTCGCCGCCGCTCCTCTTCCAGCGCCCGTTGACCTCGGCAATGAAGCTGCAGTTGTGACAATAATGCTTACATGCCAGCTCCCATCCAGTAGTCAGGCAAATCGAGGAATCTGCCCTGTACCGTAGACGCCTCTGACGTCTTCAGTCCCAGTGAACGGCGGGTAACATGCTGGCTGGCTGTTGGCGTGCGCAGCTGTGGCACACGAGGTCCTTTCGATCAGCTAGGAAGAGGGACAGGCTGACGGCGTCACGGTGGCAAGCCTGCCCGCAGAATGCTAGGATACCTGTCCAGCGGACTGGGAGTGGCAAGGCAGCCTGTCGGTTCGATCCCACAGAGCGGCATGATTCAGCGGACTCGGTTGCTATTTGCCTACACAGTGGGGTCCGGTCCTTTGCCTGCTGATGGTCAGGTCAGAGCAGGAAGCGACCAGGGAACCGCTCCGCTATGCAGCTTAACCGGTGCTTTCGGTTTGAGAGGCTGCCACAGCTACGCTCGGGGGCACTCGCGCCGAAATGGCCGTGTCGCCGAACTCCGCCATGCACACTCTGAATGCGCCGGTGAGCCAAACCAGAGCTTTCACAATGACGCTGCGGGCTGGGAACCGAATAAGCTGACGCCTCGATGGTGCCCTGCACAGCGTCGTCTGCCTACGTTCACCAAATGTCACCGTTCGTGCGCAAGAAATAAGTTTAGTCTCACTGCTGGATCTAATAGCTTGTATCCTCTCGCCATGCAGAGGATCAGAGGAGCTGGGGCACAGGTTCGGAGCGTGGCCGTGGCGGGACAAGAGGCGAGGGACCCGGATAAACTCTGATCGACAGGGTAAAGGCCTGACTCCGCTCGTTTGGTTTGCTTCTTTCCCATCTGCCCTGCCACCTGGTCTGTACGTCTGCATATAGTAGGCATTGCAAGTGAGGCGCCGGATTCAAGAGGGCCGGCGCACCTTGTCCCGCAACGACCGGGTGATTTTCCAATGCACCGGGGTCATGTGGATCGTGAGTGGCGAGGGGAATGAGAAACACAGGCATCCAAGCTAAGCGAGGTGGCCCGTATGTCATGGTGAATTATCAGCCTCATCTGTCTACCACATCCGTATCCCATTGCTTCCTCCCTCGTGGTTCCGCAGACGCTCGTGGTAGGAACGCCTACCATATGTGAGGTAACCGAGCTTCCATCGCTGCTCATTGGCCGACGGTGATGCGGCACATATGCCTGCGTGGCCGAACGCAGACTGCACCGTACGTAAGAGGTGACCAGAGGCACCTCACTGAGATGGCATGCATGGACGGTGATGTGACCGCGATTGTTGTTCGTAAGTAGACGCTGTCAATCGATCTGTTATCAGCAGGGTTCGGGGCAACCTGCTGTAAGCGTGGATGCAGTTCACGTTGGCCGTGGACAGAGCATTGTAGCGCGACCTGATTCGTGATTCATATGGGAGGCACGAGTCGTTCACGACTCGTTACGAGGACGGTTTGGCAGTTAAGGATTGACGCATTATGTTTGGTGAGTCCAGGCCGTCGATCGGTGGATGCTTTTGCCCGGCACAGAGGCACCCGGCCGATAAATGCTGTGAAGCATTGCTTGATCGTGCGTCATGCGCGGGCGACAACACAGTCCTGGCCATGATCCGCCAAGGCTCTGATGCGAAGGAGACGTTTGAAGCGCAGCCGGCCTGTGGCTAGAGAAGGAGGCAGGCGTTCGCTGTTCGGGCGTTCCTGCCTCCAGACCATGCAGAATATTGGTTTGCCTCACGGCAGCGTTTTATCGCCACTGCATCGACTTACCACGGAGGCGTCGCACCTGCGCAGACAGTCGTAGAGTGTCTCGCAAAAGCGATGTGCCCTCGGAGAGGGGGCCGCAACGGCGTCGCACATCGTCGCGCGGCTGCCTGGCGGGGTCGTTCGAGCTTACGCTAAGATGGGTATCAATCATGCATCCTTCGTCGTCGTTAGTGAAGGTATATCTACGCTCTAAATCTACAACTCGTTGACCTTCTGCGCCGCCTGTGCCGCCGTCTGGGCCGCCTTCAGCGCAAGCTGTTCCCTGTGCTTCTTGGTTCCCTCCCATGCGAGAACGGGGAGGTCAACCCACGCCTTCCCGTACTTGATCCTGCACACCTCACTTCCGAGGACGAACAAGCTCATGCCGAGGATGACAAGCAGACCGACAATGATGCCGACGGGCGTGTCTTCCTGGGGCTCCTTGACCCAGATATCGATGCGGCGAGTCTTCTCGTGACCTTGCTTAACGGAGACCGAATCATCCTCGAACCAAACCCACATCCTCTGCCGCTCGGGGTCGAAGCGATAGCGCCCTCCTGGGGAGATGAAGTGCTTCAGGGTTCCGTCCTTGATTGCGGCACCATAGACACGGTTCGGCAGGTAAATCTCCGTCACCCTGTTTATCGGCGGCACGCCTGAGGCCGTCGCCGCGCTCGGGCTGTCACGCCACCGGTAGGTGAAGAGACCGTTGTCGGCGTGGTAAACGTGCGACAGGGGCTGTCCTGCAGTAGCGATCGCATACGGGCGCACGATGACGCCGAGTAGCCTGCCGCCAGTGTCAGGTGATGAAGCGACCAGCGACCGGTCACTCTCGGGCGCATCCTCAATCTCGAGATGGCGACTGGCATCGCTATACCAGGAGAAATTCTCTGAGTTCCAGTCGTCACCGTGACTGTCCGTGTTGTGAGGGTTGTACGCCCAGAGACTAAAGTGAACAAGCGAGGACTCCAGCGCGCTGATCAAGGCGTCCATCATGCGGTTTTGCCACTTCCAGTCACCAGTAGTGAACGCCTCGTGCTTGCTGCGGTGTCAGCTGTCGTACCCAAACACTGGCTCGATACCCCGTACGGGTTGTGAACACGAGAGAAAGGAGAGCGGCGTGCAACGTTGCTCTGTACTCACTTCATGTCCATAGGAATGCCGACCTCAGTGAAGCACACGGGCACTTCCCCAATCTTCTTCCTGGCCTCGGTGACGATGTTGCGGATCTGGAGGGCGTAGTTGTCCTTGACCTGCTTGCCAAAGTAGAGACACTTGAGGATGAATTTTCCTCTCGCGGCCCCTTGGACATTGACAGTCATGGTGCCGAAAGCCTTGTTAAACAGGGCGTGAAGGTCGTACCAGTGAGGTGCGAAGACGAAATGCCTCGGGCGGTCCTCCTCCGGCCACACGGGGCAGAACTCGTTGGGTAGCGGCTCAATCATGCGTGCTTTGCCGGGGGCGACGCCGTTGATGATACCCTCCCATTTCTTGAGGAGCGGGAAGTAGTAGTCGTTGTACCAGTTCACAGTCCGCCCGGAACGGTCCTTTGTGAAGTAGTCCTCCTGCAAAGCTACAGGACGCTTCTTCTCGGCACTCCACGACCACACTCCCTCAGATTCCCAGAGACAGCGTCCGCCTGTCGGTCCGTCCTTCGACCATGCGGCGATACCGTCGCTGTTGCCCAGCTCCCTGTGGCTAACCTTGGTTGGATGCGGCCAGCTGCGAACATAGTTCGCAACCTCGGTGGGATGTCCAGCACCCATAGCCATGCCCTCGAGCGGCGTCGGGTACTGGCCCAGGTGAAGGTCGGTGTTGTAGTTCCATCCTCGTATCGTCGGAATGGAAATGTAACCAGGATGCGGTTCATTTAGCATCTGTTGTCAGCTAGGTATCGAAGCGACGTTTAGCAGCTCTCAGACGAGCACGGCTCAGTGATCCTTACCTCGAAGCCCATGACCGTGTCGAGATCGCCGACAGCGTCGACGAGCGTCTTCCACATATTCAGGAAATGACTCTGGAGGAACTCCTGCGCGGGCCGCCCTCGGATCTTGAACCGGGGGGCGAACGTGTCTCCACCCCAAAACAGTGTGTTCATTGTCGCGCACGCGAGCTTCTGGTAACCGGTCGGCCAAAGTCCGCGCTCTCCCTCGATGACCGAGCTGCGAATGCCGTGGAGGTACGCAGCGCCTGAGGCTTCGAGGGCCGCACCGTCGTCGGACAGATCGAAGCCGCACTCCGTCAGAGTCCATGCCGGTGCACCGCTGCCGCCAGAAGCGCGGCTCCAGACGTCCTGATGAAGAGACTTGAAGTCAGCAATCTATACCTGCCGAGCAAAACCGGGTACGTGACTCACAACGTAGGCAACGAGACCAGTGCCTCGAAGACTCTCGAGAAGCGTCCGCAGATACGCAAGGTATTCTGTGTCGTATTGCCCAGGACCTGCGTGCTCCACGGCGTCCCAAGTCACATTGATGCGAACTGTTGTCAGCTCCGAGTGCTCGTTAACGGCGCCGTCAGCAAGAGACTCACTAAAAGTCAGACCCCAGCTCTTCAGGCGAGCCCAGTGTTCGGGAGCCTCCTCAAGCGGAAACGGTCGGTTGACATAGGAGTTCTCAGCCATACGGTCGACTGGTACCTTCTCGGAGGGCCTGTATTGTTAGCTCACGGTTGGGGACTTTACAGCTACCCGCTGCGGCTGACGGTACATTGGCCACTCACACCTTGCTCGCGCTGCCCACGTTAGCACCACGAAGTCCCAGCACGCGCCCAAGCGGGTCGATGAAGTGCCGTCCCGAGATCGCAATGCTGTCGGCGGAAGGTTGGTAGACCTCGAAAACAGAGACGTCCGGTCCCGCCGTTCCTTTGATCGCAATCTCGTCAGTCGCGGTGGTGGCAACGACGTTGCGCTTCACGTCTCCAGGCGGGCTCATGCTGTGTTCAGTCGATGGTCGTTCTTGGTGTCTGAGCTGTTGTGTAAAGCTCAGGACGTGGAAGCACGAACGAAAAGGAAGGCCAGCGGTGACAACGCGAACTTTCAGAATGCCTGACCACTGGACAGACCGGGCCGTGCACGCCGCGTACCCGTGGTCTTGCCGGCGGCTGACGCGACGACTGCCGGGTGGAGGGTGGATTCCCACGGTGACATCGGCAACGGAGGTCTCACCCTGCACACCTCATGTCGCCACCGTCGCTGACGACAGTGCCTCCGCATCCATCGCCCATGGACGACCCATACACAGTCAAGGCCCAGAGCGGGTCTCTTATCACCTGGTGAGCTGAGGGCGCGTTTAGTCAAGGCTGACCATTCAGTGACTCGGCTGCGAAGCAGATCCTCTTGCATCTCGACTCGCAGCGAACGGGCAACTATAAGTTCATCAGCGCCGACAGTGAGTTTCTGCCATGGCCTGCTTCTCGACCCTCCCCGATATTGCCATGGACCCCTTCCCTTTTGATCTCGATTGACGACTGCAAGCTGACATCTAGTTGACGAGACGCACCTGCTTGTGCGAACAGAGGCTGTAGAGGAGATCAAGGCTGCGTTACAGGAGGAGCTCGAGAAGAACACATATGTCAAGGTGAAGGACTAGAGGCGGACTGTATGCATAGACTTGTACACTGCTAGCAGACGTGCTCCACCTTGCCCCCAGTAGGGACGCGTTTCCCAAGGTCGCGGGCCACACATCGCGTGAAGCTCTCCATCATCATGGCAAACAATGATCGCGAGAGCGCGGCGTCCCATCGGCCCTTGCTCGATTCGTCGCGGATGAATGCGTGCTGCGCCTGCACCTCGATAAACTGGAGTTAGCCCGGGCAAAAAGCTGCAGCTCACAGAAAGGGTGACGCCGGCGTCGTCGAGCGTGTCCCGGATTAGCGTGCGGCCTGCGCGGTCCACATGTGTGTCCTGTTGTTAGCTGAGACCACAAGTCCATAGTTGTCCGGGTTGGGTGCAGATGAAGGAAAACGCACCTGCTTGCCAAAGACGAGTGTGACTTCGCCTTTCCCCGTCAGATCCCCCTTCTTGACGCGCACGAGCGTATCATCCTTCTTGCCCTTGCCAAGAGTAGCCGAGTGCACGTCGGTCGCAAAGTAGCAGAAGGTAGAGAGAACGCGAGGGTCGAATGCACACTGCTGTTAGCTCTGTACGGCGCGTCGTAGCTATACGCACGCGAAGCGCCTGCTGTCAGCACTTGCGGTAAGGCTATCTTACGAGATGTCCACCGAGACACATGCCCGTGGAGGCGATACGGCCGTTGCAGCTCTTCCACTCGCAGAGCAGGTCGACAGAAAGCGTGGCGTCCTGGAGTCAGCATGAAAGGGGTCCCGAGCTTACCTCGTCATACGCCTCAACGGTCTTCTCGATCTGACAGTCAGCTTCACTCCGCGAAATATAGCTCACCTTGTACCTGTTCCCCCGATCCGTACCTTCAGTGTCGTAGGGAATCGGCTCTGGACCCTCGAACTCGTGGAAAGAGGAAGGCAGCGCAACGACATAGCCCTCCGAGGCGATATTGGACGCGAAGCGCTCGACGGGGCCGGTTACCTGATAGATCTCGGAGAAGACGACGCCTGGGGTCAGCTCACTTTCCGCGATGCCCAAACTGCATCCGAGATAGCTGATGATCAACAAGCGGTAGGTCACGTCGAAGACGGCCAGCCGTGAAACGATGTAGAGAAAGGCTATGTGAGGAAGGCACACTCACATCCGGGAAACTTAGCTTCGGGGTACTCGGGCACATTAGGCTCGATGACGAAGATGCGCATCTTGCCGGGGCGACCGTCGGCCTTGGTTTCCACATCGCGGTACGAGGTCTTGATCAGCATTGTCGATAAGATGTTGCTGTTGTATACGGTCTTCACCCTGGTTCGAGATGACGTTGGAGGTGTCCTTCCCCGGTGGAGGCTGACAGAAGGAGGATGGCGGTGAGCCAGGGCGCAGGGCGGTGACAGACTTATTTGACCCTCCCGCACAGACCACAGAGCCGGACATGCACGTGGCTCGGAAATTGTGATAAGATTGCCGTCCACCATTGGGTGAGTTTTCCGGTCCGCTAACCGGAGCGCACGACGCCGATGCGGAGCACCCATATCATATTGCGGTCGCTCTCGATATGCAACCTTGTCTCCGAAGCGTCTCACATCCGCCCACTACCACAACCACCTGTTCCCTCGTGTCTTCAGTGCTCTTTCACATCTTCTCTCACTCTTCAAGACTAGAAAACTTCCAACAAGCATGTCCGCCCAGCTCCCGCCTCTCGACTCGCTCACCGACCCCGCCAAGCTGACGCAGTGCCTTTCAACGCTGTTCGAGCCGAGCACGGCGCTGAAGGAGATTCTTGTCCCGCAGCTCGTAAAGAAGTACAAGGCAGACGGCACGCCACTCTCGTACGCTGGTGTCATCCACGACTGCGCCGAGGCCAGCAAGGAGTGGACGTGGGAGCAGAAATCCGACTTCGTCACTGGCCACCCCTTGATCGGTGCCCCTGCCACCGGCCTCTCCGGTAAGGAGCAGGGAACTGAGACGACCAAGGTCGTTCTTGACCGGTGAGTGCCTTTCTCTTGCTCTGGCTGTGCGTGGAGTGCTAGTCTCCTCGTTGACCCGTGTAAGCGTAGCCTCCAGCACATCGCCATTGCCAGTGTGTATGTGATGGTGTGAAGCAGCGGCCTCGCCAGCTAGGAGTCAGGGCTCAAGCTAACGTCCAGCCTCAAGCAGCTCAACTCGCTTTACTCCCAGGCCTTCCCGGACCTGACCTTCATCACGTTTGTGAACGGACGCCCGCGCTCTGAGATCGTCAACGAGATGGAGCGCAAAATCGGCCTCCCCGAGAGCCCGAAGCCACTCCCCGACTCGTTCGACTGCGGCTCCACGACGATCGACCCCAAGCTCGTCCGCAAGAAAGGCTCCCCGGAGTGGGAGGAGGAGTGTGACCGCGACGTGAACGACGTTTGGCGCATCGCGCGCTCCAGGCTGCGCACCCTCGGCGTCGAGTAAGTATGTATGCATCGGGTTCCTACAGTCTAGCCTACATCCACGCTCTGCACTCCCGCGCTGATCGACTCCCTCCTCTCCGGGATGGGATAAGCCATGAGGCGAGCTCACTGCATTTGCGCTTGCCGCTAGCTCGCACTGGGATCTCTGGTTTCCCTCCCCCGGCCGGCTCACACGACTTACCCGCTGGAGATCCAAACACGGCACTCGCTAACAGACAGCGGCGCACAGAACGCACGTCACGGAGCCGCGAGCGCGAAGCTCTAGGACACATTGTCCTCTCCGAGAAACGATGCGCCGAGCGCGCCCGTCGCGCGGCCAGGCATCGAGGGGCCAGGGACCGTTCCTCGCCCGGCAACCGGTAGAACCTCTGGGAAAGATGTATGAGTAATGCCTGTTTTGTCAGTCCAACGCATGAGTCGAGCTGGGGATGGAGAGGGGTCATGAGATCGTATGCATGGGTTTAAGGCTCACTCACCTTTCGTGCGAGACCTGCGCTGGGCTTCGCGCCCGGCCAGAGGCTGCCGCCGTGGCACCGAGCAGACTGCTCCGCCCCTAACGCAGATTCCCAGGCTACAAGCCTCCCGACATTCCGCCTCGAGCTCCCTCAGCGTTGCACGTCTGGCAGCGCGGTCCTGGCGCCGGAGCACCTTCCTGGTCGCACAATGAGATGAGCACCAGCGGCACGGATCACGCTCATGACCGGATACCGGGGTGGGTTTGAAGGACTGTTGTCAGCTGAAGGGTGTAGCGGCAAAGCTCACCTTAGGGTTAGAAGCTACCGGTGTAAGCGGCAACGGGGACCAGACTGTTGCGTGCGGTGCGTCTCTGGGGCTCGTGTCGGGCGGGCGCCGGTTGACAAGCAGGGAGCTGAGAATCTGGCAGTAAGTGCAGACGTCAGTGAGCTGGGCTTTGGCAAGCGGCGCAGAGTGAGGAGAAAGAGAAAAGGGGGCGTTGCTTGCATAGGCAGCCGATGGACCAGATGCGTGTTTACGGAAGTGACGTGGTGCGCATGGCGCGAGGGTGGAGGTTCGGTAGGCGTGCGGCCATGCGGATGGGGGCGAGGGTGGACAGCCGGCCATCTCCGGTACGTCTGAGCACGCCTTGCACTGAGGACCTGGCACTTGTGCACCTGCGCGCTGCGCTGTCTCGATGCCTCTTCGCAGGATACTGGTGCATAGTCACATTAGGGATTTAGCTCCGGGCTGAGTCCGAAGCAGCCTACACTCTGAAGTACCTGGGCCGAAATGCAAACCTTATCGCTGCCGATGCGCCGATGCATGCACGCGTCTGCGTACTCATCCCTGTGTACACAAAGCGGAGATGGTGTCCATCGCCCGGGGGCTTACCTCCCTCCCATCAATGCAGGAACAGCGAGGCACGACTGTCACTTTCTTCAAGTCTCTGGTGTTGCTGCCACAAGCTGGACCAAACGAGGTAGGAATGTGGGGATCGGAGAAGAGGTCCCAGATGTACGGCTCTGTGTGAGAGTGGAGTGCGACGCGGGAGTATGCAGCAATGGGCTGTCATCAGCGCTCTCTTGTAATCCTGCGAGCGTCGCATCAACCGCGATGGCGGCAAGCTCTATCAACGTTAATGTCGTTTCTCCCGCCCTGAAGCCAGGGCATCACGGCAGGAAGGAGGGCCATGGGCCAGCAGGCAGCAGGGACGGGCGGAGGTACGCGGAGGTCTGTGCTGGCTGGTACGAGGGCAACCTGGGTGATACGCTCGTGAGACGGTGCTGAATTGGACGCTTGGTCGGCTCTGCGCGTCCGTCGAGACCCGTTGTTACAAGAGAACCCTGGTGCAGCCCGTGGCACGGGCGTTGATGCCAGCATACCAGCACAGTCGCCTTCAGCGAGCGGGGGCTGCTGTCTCAAGACGCGCGCGGAACGAACAACCCAGTCCCTTACTCACCAGTAGCGTTCTGCATTAGCTGAGGCATGCCCTGCCCACAGGCTTGCCGCTTGCAGCGATAGCGAGCCGCATCGCTGGAACACTGAGGCGCGTAATGCCAGTATCTCGGGCGGTAGTACGTCGCCTTGAGAGCGCCGTTCTTCGTTCCAGCCAACCCACACACCTGCACACCGGACACACCGACACGTCCACGCCCCTCCCCAGTTCAGGCCTGCCCGTTATTGTATCTTCCGCTCCATTGCTCGTTTGCGGCCAGCCCCTCTCAACCACAGCCCTTCCCACCGCATTGCGCGACTCTTTCCTTCACTTCTTTCTTCCACTCTGGACGCACAAACACAACAGTACGACAAAGAAACGACGACGGAACCGACCCTCCGACCCCTCCTTCATTAACGTCCTCTCGGTTATCAATAAAGCCACCTTACTCCGCGACCCTTCCCTACCATCCGCCAACCGCCTGGACCTCCTCTTGCATCTTTTTTCGCATCGTACCGTCAGAGCAGTGCTCGTCTCGACCCTCTCCACTCATTCGACCACACTCTCTCAGTTTCAGCCCCTCAACTGTATCTTGCGGACATCCTTTCATATGGGTCAGGCTGATGGGCGTAAAACTCTCAGCATCCTAGAGTATTCAGCGGACACTAGGGCCAGAGCGCATTCTCGGCGTAAGGAATCTCGGCATAGCCCAGGGACCAATCTCCCGCGCCATCTCCTGCAGCCTGCCTGCCCAGTAAACCCAGCCGGCCGGCTGGCCTGATCCCACCTCCGTTTTCGCCGTGCTAGTCGACGACCATGTCGCCGTTGCACAAGTCTATTCATCACAACAACAACAGCAATCTTGTCGACGCCGACGACGACGGCCGCCATTACGGCTACCCTAGCGAGAAGCAGCAGCGCGAGGCCGTCGCCCCTCTCTCCACGAATCTTCTTGTCAACAATTACTCGCGCTCCCCGCCTTCCCGCCCTCTCAACGCTCGTTCAAGCCCCCCACGCAAGCCGCGGTCAAGCGTCTTCTCGGTCCTAATCCCACGCGCTTGGTCAAACCCCGCACCACCGCCTGCGTCGCCTCCACATCCCTTCATCTCTCTGACGGCCCCGCCCAAGCTCCCCCCTGTCCATCGACACTCGTTTCTCGACCCGGCCACCTTTGATCGCGAGGAGTACTGGCTCGACTCTGATTCAGACTCTGAAATCGAACAACCGATTGCTGCAACGGGCTTAGACCAGGGTCGCAACCGTCTGCAGCCCGGGCGACATCATCACGCTCCTAGTCACAAGTGGACACCGACAGTTGACCACATTTCGCCGGCTAGCCCAGCGCAGACCATCTCTCCGTCGACGACTGCGGCCTATCTCTTTTGCGTCCCATCACCTGCCATCGGAGCCTTTGCAACACCAGCGGCCCTTCGTAGCAAGAAGTCCACTGAACGCGTAGGCAAAACCAGGGGTAAACCCTTGAACGCTTCCTACAAGCCCCCGCTGTCTGCAGGCGGACACAAGCGACGCCGCTTCGTCCATCACGCACGATCGCCCACGGCAACTTTCCCTCAGATCCCCTCTTTCGCCAACTCGCGATCGCCCACGTACCCTCCCCGAATCCACTACAATCCAAACCTTTCGCTTGCCCAGGCCGCAAAGAAGCCGACCGCTGCCCATCGCTCCCCGCGAACTCCCCCTCGTCGTCGATACCGGCGAGCCAGGGGACCGACCTCCTCGCCCACGAAGGCTATCGCTGCGAGCAGAAGCCGCACGAGCTTGCGCCATCCATCGCGCTCGCGCCTGCACAGACCATCAGTCGACCGTCTCTTGAAGCCTTCGCGCAGCCTTTTCAGGCGTCGTGCCGCTCGAATCCTCCACGATCATCGCCCTGCTCCCAAGCCGCCTATCAACCCTACGGTTCTAGCCGCGATGCAAGCCATTGTGGACCAGACGGCGTTCCCGGTTAAGCGCAGTGGGGTCGATGGCATCGCACTGCCGAATGGATCGCCGCGGCCGCGAGTGGTGGTGAATGAAGAGGATGCAAGGATTGCATGGAGCATGCAGTTTTGGGTTACCATTGCCGACCCTGTCGTGAGTTTCCAGCCTTGAGAGAGGGAGATAGGCTCTGAGTTCGCGTGTCGGAAACTGACTCTGGCGCAGACCCAGCATGTTTTCTTCGCGTGCCCGGCCACAGGTGAGTAGTCGTCGTACTCTCAAGGTCCCTCATTAGACCGTCATTTCTCCACAGTGTTCCTAACCGTAACCGCAGGTCAGTGCAGCTGGGAACCGCCCGTCGGAGCCTTCGTGTAAGTCGTCCTGGTTGCTCGTTGCATCCAGTCCATCGATCATGATCATCACTAACCACCGACGCAGTGTGCCAAGGTCGCCTGAAGGTGAATGGTGGGAACTGGCTGATGCGTCGCGTGACAACCAGTGCTACTACTACAGTGAGTCCGACCCGACATCTCTGATCCACGTCCCGATCTCTTGGAGCTTTTCCTGGCTAGATGAGGGTTCCAGGAGATGTTCCGGAGGCCCGGCCCCCTCTGTCCTGTGTGTCTCACCGGCTGACCCGCAGACACGCTTACTGGTGTAACGCAATGGAATAGGCCCGGCAGTGAAGCGTTTGTCATCCCGCTCGGATTGATTCAGGTGAGTAGCTCGGCGAGTGTGTACCCACTCTTTGCTTGAAGCTTGCTTGTTGGCACTGGCTCGTCGCCATGTTGTAACGTCACCATCCACCATACCATTGTCACCCCTGTTGTTTCCCAAGCTTACATGCGCGCAGCAAAACGCCCTCATTTCGTCCCTTCCCGACAAGCCAGTCCCCTCCCCAAGCTCGAGCGTGCACGCGGAGGAAATCCTAGTCAGCGGCAACAGCAGCGCTGTTAATGTCAACGGACATCAAAACCCCACCCCTGCACGCAGCTTGAACGGATCCGTCGCATCGGCTTGTCGCCCTTCCAACTCGCCATCATCCATTACCCGCACCCTTCCCGACACGGCAGATCACCCGGTCATGCTTGCCCAAAGCGCGACAGCAAGCTCGAGTGGGCCCTTAACCCCGACTCCGGATCAGCCGTCGGAGGGGGAGGCAATTAGCACCGATGCCGCGGAGGCGAGCGACCATCTTGCGGAAGCAGAGCCGGTCCGGACTAGCTGGTGGGATCGCCGCAAGCCGCGCGGACGGCTTATGAGCGGGTCAAGCGTTCGAAGCCGACGGGCCACAGTCGAGAACAACAGCCCCGTCACGTCGCACAGCGACGTCTTCTCTTCGCCTCCGACGTCTCCGTCCATGGACCAGCCGGCGGCGCTCCCCCCGGTAGGGCCCTCCGGGAACGTCAACATTGTCATTCAGCCCTCATCACCGACGAGTGCCGCGTACGACCTCAACAATTTCAGTACGGACAACTTTGCGGACCGGTATTTTGCGACCAAACGTTCCGGCATGTTGCGGCAGCGGTTGTCCCTCGAGCGTATTATGGAATGGCAGCGTAGTCCAATCGCCGCGCCGCTGTTGGTCTTGTCTAAAGCGTGCGTCAGCGACGCCCTGTCGACATTCAAGGTTATCCAGCACGTCATGGGTGAACGGGACCGGCCGGTGGACGCTGCGCGGCCGAACCATGCCAACCAAGGGGCGATGAGTAGTGTCTTGAGCCTGCGATCGACGAGGGATGACTGGGCTGGCAAGGATGACAAGACAATCATTCTCGAGGAGATTCGCTGGATGGTTCAACTCGGTGTCGGCCGCTCAGAGATGCGCGACGAACTCTACTGCCAGCTGATCAAGCAACTTACGCGCAATCCGGACAACGACGCGACGGTACTTGGCTTCCAGCTGTACTGCGTCTTCGTCCAGGCATTCGGCCCCTCTAAGAGCTTTGAGCCGTTTGTGCGCTCTTTCCTCGTTGGCAACGTTGAGCGGACCGAGTTTGGAATCGGCGTGATGTCGAAGTGTGAGTTCTGAGGATGAGGCGTGTTGATTGACTCTAGATTGCTTGTCTCGATTGGACGCCTGGGTGGCCAAGGGCGGCGGCGGCCGAGTGCTCAGCATTGTGGAGATTGAGCATGCTTCGGACGCAGCGTTCTACCCGTCCGTTTACGGGCAGACGCTGGAAACGATCATGCAGCGCCAGGAAGGTGCCTACCCGGAACTGCGAATCCCAATCATCCTCCCATTCCTCGCGGACGGCATCCTCGCCCTTGGCGGAACCGACGCAGAAGGCATCTTCCGTGTGCCGGGCGATAACGATGTTATCACCCAGCTGCGCACGCGCATCGACCGGGGGCAATACCAGCTGGATGGCATCGATGACCCGCACGTCGTCGCATCCCTGTTCAAACTTTGGCTTCGCGACTTGGAGGAGCCTCTCATTCCTGCAACGCTCTACAGGGCTGCGTTGGAGTCGTCCCGATCGGTCGACCACAGCATTCTCTTCCTGAAGCGACTCCCGGACCACAACCGACGTGTGCTGCTGTTCGTCATCAGCTTCATGCAGCTATTCCTGGACCCCGAAGTCATTGCTGTCACGAAGATGACGCCGCAAAACCTCTCACTCGTGCTCGCGCCGAACATTCTGCGTACGCCCAATGAGTCACTTGCGACTGTGTTCGCGAACAGTGCCAGTGAGAGCCAGTTTGTCCTCAACCTGCTGCTGCACCTTGACCCGCCGAGCGTCGACCCAGAATACGTTCCGACCCACGGACACTAATCTCTCCCTCTCCCTTTTCTTGTATTTGTGATTCTCTTCATTCTCTCCATCCGGCATCTCTCATTCTGGGCCTGCGGGCACCAATCAGCAGTATACAGTACACCACAGCATTTCTTCATATATATAATCGCACGCCGGTATCAGGTCGATACACACTTGGATGCATCGAGCTAGCATGAGCGAGAACGGAAAGTGGTTGCACTGGTGGAAGCAGCACCCCGGTCCCAAGTGCGTCTCTGTCCCCCGTTGCCGCTCGATCGCTGTGATCGAGACATCGGTTCCGAGCCACGAGGAAAGCACGAGCTTACCACAGCACGAGCGAGCCATGAGGAGCCATGAGATCAGACCACCGTGGGACGGTTCGTCATGAACGATCGAGAGTCAGCTAGCCTGATCCCAGATCCCACACGGGGCTGGTGGCCGGTGGAGCCTGGAGCCAGAACAGACCATGAGACCATGAGTCAGTCCACAGGACGAGGAAGCGAATACGGTAGCGCGATGAGGTCAGTGAGGCGAGGGCGATGCAGTGAGAACCTTGTTAGATGATTGCTTCGCAACGCAGCAGGATAAGGTTAAACGTTCAGCGGTTGGCTGGAGGAGCAGAGTGGGCCGAACGTGTGAGGTGTGAGTCCGAGGGGCGATATCATGCATGCCGGCGTTGACACTGGCGACCGGTGATGGCCAGTTGCGGTGCGAGTTTGCGCGCTTGCGCGGGATGATGGGTCGCAGCCAGGCGGACAGCGCTGTGCTTTCCGTCGTCTTCACTGCTGGTTGCTGGCTGGCATGGCTGGCCTGGCTGGCATGGTTGATTGATCACCCGTCAGTGCATCCGACCCTTTGCAGAGAGCAGAAGGGGGGAATGATCGCCCGCCGTCCGTCAGACGTTTCACAAACAAGGGGCGCGTGTCTTGTCCTGAATGGGACTTCCTGAGCCTGAGTCCTGGTGCCTTGGTTCGCGCTGGGCCTCCCTCTTGTGTCACGTTTCGCCCGCTCTCCCACGCTGCTCCCTCCTACTCAATTGGGTAAGCCCCCCGTCACTAGCCTCACTGGCAACACGTCGCTCTCAGAGCGAGCACCAGACAGCTGCATGCAATCGACCCCTTGCCTCAACGCGACAACGCAACGGAGACAAGATAACGGTGACCGAACGAGGGGCACCAGAGGTGTGTCATGTTGGTGCAGAGCGACTGGCCAATGACGGGGCCTACGCAACGACTCGCTGCCAGGGCTCTCCCGAGCCCGCAAGCGATGGCGAGCAACCCACTCTGCCTCCCATCGTCGTCTCCCTCCTGGCCTCAAGACCACATAGCTCGAGGATCGAGGATTAAGGACTCGAAGTGGTGAGTTTCTGCCAGGAACTGAATCACGCACGCATCGCATCAAAGTAAGGAACCAGGAACCGGGCCCGTTTCGCGGCGTGGCCTACTCCTCACCGCTCGTCTTCTGTGGTGCCAACCCCCCGGCCCAGCGGCCACCGTCTGCAGCGGGTGCCCAGCGGGTGACATTCTCAGGGCGACTAAGGGCTCGGGTTCGTGTTTCTGCGTTTCTGTTTTCGGCCCACCCCGAACACCCGTCTTCTCTTGGCGCTGGTCTCTGCAATCTTTCCCGGCTCCTCCGGCCTCCCTACGCTTTACTGCAACGGCGCAACGGTCGCGAGTCGCTGATGCTTCGTCGGACCCTTATCTTGCCGACCTGCTGACCTTCAGACCTCCAGACCCTAGGGGACCATGCCGCCAAAACGAGTCAGAGACTGCAACAACAACCACGGGGCCGTCGCGCGGGGAACCTTTCTAGCCTGGTAGCGGCGCGGCACACGGCCAGAGGCCTCACGGCGTGAAGCACGAACTCTATCGCAACGGCCCCTTGCTTCCGAGGGCCTCTTCGCCTTTTGCGCGCACGCAGAAACAAGAGTAGTACGCAGTGCGTCGTCCTCTTCGTTGCTCCACGCCGCGCACCCCCAAGTCATGTCCAGGAAGTGCTCCTTCTTTGCACTTGACACTTCGCCCACACCCGTTTCTTCGCTATACTTGCTTTCAGAGCTACTGTCTGCTGTGCCGACAGATTTGTCTTCTTCACCTCAATCGCCAACGCCACTTCACTCCGAGCACTCGTCGCTGACCGTTCAATACGAGGGAGGCTCTGTCAGTCGACACGACGACCAGAAGCCGAACGAACACGGCACGGCATCGAGACAAAAGCCAGCTATTCTCCGGACCAGCCCGAGCCTCCGAGGCACAAGTGACGGCAGCCCGACCGTCTCACCGACGACAGCGAGGCTACAGCAAAGCGCAGCGCGCTGCCTTCTGCCCATCTCTCTTTCGATCTGAGAAACCGTACAAACCATCACTGCCATGCAGGTTGTCATTCCAGCAAAGTGAGTCCCTTGCTTTGTCATGTAAGCTGGTGTGGCTTCATTAGAACAATGGCTCTACGGCATGTCATTAATTATCACCGGCCCGTTGACCGTCATTACTGAGAGGCTAGTCTGGTGAGCGACCATTTAGTCGTGAACCGGTCGTCGATCGTCGATCAGAACTCATTTGAGCCGCTATTGTTCACTGGCTCTGCTCGTGTGCTCCTGCTAATTCCAGTTCCCCCCTCATCACGTACCAACCGTCGCGCAGCGCGTGGACGCCCGGAGTGAATGGAACGAGCATGTATACGTTCGGCAATCAGTCCGCCGTATTCAACTTCACCGGCACCTCGTTGCACTTCAACGTCGAGTACGCCTCCGTGAACCAAACAGGTGCAGCTAGCGGCCCTGGCGGTTCCTCCTCGAGCAATCTATTCTGGCACACCAGGCTCGTCATCAACGGCACGGAGATTGGCAATGACGCCAGTGCGCTTGGCACTGATGACCTGCCGAATGGCCAGCACTACGTCGAACTGCAATTCACCCGGCTAGACGGAAACGCGACGCGCGACTCGTACGCCATGCTCCGGTCCGTGACGGGCAGCCTGGCACAGGAGCCAGGGCCCAACGCATGGAATCAAACCTTCGACGACAGCATGCGCAACTCTAGCGTCGTGCTTAATGATGGCTGGAGCCGACTGAGCGCCGACACCGACAACCACCCTGAGACAATCACGAACGAGACCCTCGCGGCGGCTGAGGAGCCGCAGCTTGCCCAGAGTTGGGAGGGCACGCTGGCTGTCGCAGAGCACCCCGGGGCGGCGGCACAGCTGAGCTTCACCGGCTCGGCTGTCTGGGTGTATGGACCATCTGGCGGACCGTTTGGCGAGTACATGGTGCAGCTAGACGGCAAGGACGTGGGCCACTACGGCGCCATGGGTGGCAACACGGCGTACCAGACGCTGCTGTACCACACCTCTGGACTGCGGGAAGGTCTGCACCGGCTCAAGCTCACTAGCATCAATGGCCGGATCGGGTTCGACCGCATGGTCTCTTCCAACGGACTTGTGACCCTCTCGGCGCCCAAGCAAGCCTATGGGACTCTGGCTGTGCCAACGACCACAGTCGGCGCGACAACGCACGGTTTCATTCCCATGAAGAACACGGACAAGCCGACTGCGGCCGCGAGCAAGAGCAAGAGCAGCACGACCACTGCGATCGCTGCGAGCGTGGGCACAATCGGCGGCCTGATTGTGCTGACGCTACTGGGCTTCCTTATCTGGACGTGCTGCGTGCGCAAGCGACGTCGCGAGAACCGATCGAACCGACCAGCGCAGTACCTCCCTGAAGAGCCTGGACGGTGGTACCTCCGCCGCAAGAGCCGAGGGTGGAAGTTCGAGCAGCTCGAGCCTGGTGTCTCGGGCGTCAGTGAATGGAAGACGCCCTCGACATCATCCTTCGGGTCCTCGTTTCGCGAACCGAGGAGCCCGCCGAAGGCTCGTGCCAAGTCCCTGTTTTCGAGTAAGACACACCGTCACAACGCGCCAGAGTACGACATGCAGCACATGCAGCCCGTCCAATCGGGCGGCGGGGGGCCAATGGCTGCGGCACTGGGAGGAGCGAGCTCGCCGCTGAGCCAGCTGCAGAGCAAATGGAAGAAGCCTCACTACAACAAGGCGAGCGAGATCTCTGCCCCCCTCCCGCTGGGCACCAACTACGCTGAGCCGCGAGGCCATGGGCGCACGAACAGCCAGGCGAGCAACGGCAGCCTGGGGAGCGACATTCGCAACTGGTACGAGTGGTTTGGGGGTGTGTACGCGGGATCTGGGGGCGCAAGCACGCACACAAGGCGTACGGACGTGGGCATCGCATCGTAGCCCCGCAGACATTGCGGTCTGCGCGAGGCTGAGTTGGCTCGCTATCTCGGAGCCGCTAAACGCAGCCTCATTGCCCGTAGTCTCTCCTTGGATCTCACCTCGTCCTTGCCTCTGCACCGTCTCCAGGGTGTAGCTTCCTGTACAAGTATGCGACCTGTTGTGCTCCTCGTGTGGATATGGGCATGGCGGCAGCACGGCGGGGCGCAGGGTGGCAAAGGGCCTGAGGGGCGTCACTGGACCAGGGCGATCGCCACATTAGGCTGGGAGGCGGAGCGTCTGTTGACACCGCCGTCGTCTGCTTCTTTTCCCCGCAAGATGTCAAATAACCTCCGATCTCGATACTGCATGCATCTGACAGCTTTTGGCTGTCATGGACTTCCATGCCCGCGACTGCAAGCATGGCAAGTGCTTTTGCAGAATGCAGAACGCGCTGGAATAGTGTGCGTAGAGAGGCGTGCCGATGACACTGCGATCTGAGACGAAAATAGTGGGGCCCCGTGCTGCCAGGCAGACCATCCGAGCTTTGGAGCTGTGTGGATGGCAAGTGGCGTTTGACCCAATTCGCTAGTCATCGATGGCCTAGACCATGCAAACAAGGCAAGGTCAGGAGAACGGCCAGCACACACGGATACGTGGCCTCCTAGAGCTCCTAACCTCTATGCGTGCTGTGCGGGCTGCGCCCCTCCCTTCTACTGGTGACCTGTGCGCTCGCGCTGCGCGATATCGCACCATGTGTCGCCCTTTTGCCGCTGGAGACTTCATCTCTTCTTCGTCAACACTTTCTTGCAGTCGCTACCGGGCACGTTTTCCTTTCCAGTTCCTTCCAGTCCTTTCCCCCTACTCTCCTTGCATCCTCTCCTTACACCCTTGTATCATTCTGCCCATTTGCATAATCAGCCCCCTCTCATCAAGACAGTCCCGCTCACAGCACGCGACGATGCCTACAAAACGCCGCAGCGACGAGGAAGACCATCCCCGAGCACGAAAAACAGCTTGCTACCCCGGAGGTGTGAGTGTAATCTGACCGTCATCCACATGAGAACTTCCTTCACGCCCCTGCTGACACGCTGCAGGGCAGTGGTGCCCCCTCATCAGCAAGCCCTACCCCGTCTCGGCCGCACCCACAAGGTCACCCCGAAACCGGCATCACGGCCGACGATCCCCCTGAGTCACCAGCTCCTTCTTCGCAGGAAGCCTTGATGCGAAGAATGGTCCTGGCGATGGAGAGAAGCGCGAGTGCGGCAGAACGACAAGCCAGCGCAAGTGAGCGCTCCGCCGAGCTCCTCGACCGCATCGCCCAAGGCAACGCTAGCACCTTCACCCCGCATGCGGCGTCGACACCGTCGC